TTTTTCCGCAATTCTGATTTAATGGTATGTATACAGTATGTATGTACCCTAGTTTTCGTTTGAATGGTAGTCGTATTAGCAACATTATATGAATATAGTTTTCTGTATTCGCAGGAAAGTATATGTTATCATTATTGTTAGTGTTCATACTATTATCAACATTGCATTATGAATATTCGCATTAGCCCGAGTATCAGTCCGTAGGAGTATAATTTCTATGTTAGTAATAGTATGAGCATGAGTATTATGTACAACAGTTTTAGTATTAAATCTACTATGAACATTTATGATTATTCGTATTCGTAGGAGCATTATAGTACTCATAGTAGTATGAATATGACTATTAGTGCTAGTATTTTTTATAACCATATTAAAATGAATATTGCGTGGCGCGAACCTGAGACAGCTGGCTGTAGGTCTTCGCATGTTTCGCATATGTTTCGTTTGCCTCACAGTCTTCTGAATCAGCTGCGTCTGGCTCAATACACAGCCAGGTCGTATTTGCAGTAATTACTAGAAGTGATGGTGGTAGTAGTGGTAATAGCAGCAGCAGCAGCAGCAGCAGCAGCAGTAGTAGTAGTAGTAGTAGTAGTAGTAATAGTTAGAGTGGCAGCAGCATGCATCACACTCGTTTACTGCATGTTTCGTACAGGTATAGGCTTTGTTTGCTTCACAGTGTTGTGAAACAGCTGAATGGTGGATCCTTCCGGGGGGTGGCATATATATATGTGTGTGTGTGTGAGTGCGTTTGTATGTGTACCCGTCTGTAAACAAAGTTGAACATTTGTTGAATCAGTTGGCGATCTTAATATGACATTGGCTTGAGATGCAGGGTCTAGCGTTTACACTGAAGGCTCTGAGGATGCACGCTTTTGTGGCTTACAGTAGGCTTCACCCTCAGAGGGCAGCTTGCGAGCCCCTTGTCTTCCAGCCTTTCGAGGTGGACGGCAGGTGTCGGGAGTGTGAGGGCAAAGATTCAGCAGAGTGTCATCCAAAAATCCGAAACACAATACAGCGCAGTAGCTTTAGCTCCTGAATCCCCATGATGAGCCTAAGTTGATTCCGCAAACACACTCACTCGAAATCATAAACCCCGACATAAGTCCCTTGTGCTTAAGTTTCTCAAATCGCCAAGTTTAAAGCGAAACTCAAAAGAGCAGGCTACTTGGTCTTTGGCCCTGAGCTTGAAGCCTGGCACTAGCCTCAAATTTCTGAACGGTTTTTCTGCGGAGCTTGGAGGAACTTCGACAGACCACCTTGACACAGTAGAGAAGGCAAAAGAAAGGCTGATGATGTCTGCTCTTATCGCTTTACACAGTGTACTTGGGAAGCAACTCTGTCAGCTGCAGGTCAAGCATTGAGAAAGCGATCATGACCACGCATGAAGCTGAGACCTTCAGAGGAGCAGGCGCTACGGACAAGAGCTAAAGATTCCATAGCTGATCCTCCGTAATACTACATCAGGTCGGTTCTCCCAAAGCGCCTTCAGCTTTTGCAGCACTGATACGGGTGCCGTGCAGTCTCTGCAAGCCAGCAGAGATCTCCGGCACAACTGATCGGTCATGGTGTATCAAGGTAGCCTGTCACAGGAGCATTACAAGCTACCGAGGATCTCGATACTCTTCGGCCAGGGCGATCTGGGAGCAATGTGCCCACTGCCGTGGGGCTTCGGATGTGGGTGTGAGATGGGTCGGCGGGAATGAGGCGTACATCGAGGGTTTAGGTCTATGCCCCCCACCCCCCGCGAGCCTCCGTTACGGATCATGCAGGTACAACATCGCTCCCATCTCTACTCTGGCGGGGCCCTCGTTGGCGGTCGGGAATCCGAATCCGAGCCCCAACCCCCAAAGCAATTAGCTGCGGGTTTGCATGGCTCCGAACTTTTGCTTTTGCTTCCTACGCCCCTGCGGTTTCCTCCAATCGGATCGACTGGGCAAGGTTAGGTTCCAAGACCTGTGCACGTGTACAACCGTTGGCACGCTCTTCCAACGCACTTTCACAAACCCTTTTAAACGCAACACCCTTCAAAAGCCCTTAAACCTCAACAAGCAGTCCCATAGGATCCCATCAAATCAACTGATGCCAGCTTTGGGGATCGGCCTATTTGATCTGCATCATCATTCTGATGATGAGCATGCCGGGGCCCGTGCTACAGCCATGAGCCAGGGGCCCGTACGTTTTTGGTCTGTCTGTTCAGGATCTCGGCCATCCTGATCTCGCACCACAGAGAGGCCCTTTGTCACGCCTGGTCCCAGCCTGGAAAGAGCTCATGCACAAAGGTAGGGAGGCAAGAACATTGTCAACAGCGCAGTATACCGAAATGTGAAGCAACTGGGCGAACACTTGAGCCTGGGAAAAGAGAATAAGCAGACGATGCCGCACACTTTTCTCAACAGTGAAATGGACCAGACGACGGTGGCAGAAGGCTCCTGTACCACAAGATGCACCCTTGTCGGGCCCACGAACCCAACACTCACATGCCTGATCGGCGGACTCGTGGATGATGCGCAGCCCGCTACACCGCCTGCATGCGCCATCGTCACGCAGGGTCGCCTATGCGTGAGAAAGCGGCCATTCTTTCCGAAACACACTCCTTGCCTGCCAGGATAAGGACATCAAGCAGAATAACCGCAAATTGCCACTACCCGAAGCCTGAACAGAGCTGTCGTATTGGCGCACTTTGGAGAACATCGCTGGGACGCAGAATCCTCAAGCGAGACAGCCACGTGAAGCCAGCACTGTGGACATTTTAAAAAGCCCGATAACAAGCCACAACAAGTGAATGCCTGGAAAACATGCATAATCGCATAATGTGTCCCCCAAGGATCCAGGTCACCTAGTTGTTGGTCGAAGACGGCGAAGCGATGCCCCGGCCGCCGCCGCAGCTACAACCGGCAATTGCCAACTTTTGTCACCAAGCAGCCCTGGCCAACCTCCAATTGCAGCCAACGGACACAGCGAGACTTCGCAATTGAGAGTTACAGTTGCCGTTTTGAGGTTCTGGCTGCGATCAGGGGATCTTCTCGAGGAATCGTTTCGCTTGATGCACTGGGGTCGGTTTCCCCTGAGCGTCCAAGACAAGGACTTTCAAGTAGACAGAAAACAGGAATCCTTTGCCTGCAGAAGATAGGGAAATGGAGCTGAGCTCACCACAGATTTGGGGGCAGGTGCGCAAGAAGCGTGGGCCTGTAGCTCAGATCCAACCCGGGACTGATAGGGCCCCTGATAGGGCCCGCAAGGATTCAGTTTATCGCAGCGATACTGCATCCAAAAGTCTGACGCTCGATGTTAGACTGTCATAGGTCAAAATCGATCGAGCCGCAGTTGCATCGTATACGGACTCAGGAGGGCACAGCAGACGCTTCCACAACAGTTCCTAGCCATGTTGGAGGACTTCGTGTGGAAGGTGCAGGGACATGGTCATGACTTGCTCACAGAACAAGCTGAAAGCTTTTTGCATGGCCTCGCACGAGTTCACGTCTCTTCGATGGCATCTTTGTTTGCATGGGGTTTCTTCGGAGTGGTATCCAGTAGTGTATGTAGCTGTTTACCTGCGTGCTGGCATGCTGCGCAAGCGGAAATATACCAAGCTACCCGAATTCGCAAACGAAGCATGGCCGAACTAAGCACCAGCCCCTTGCCCAGCGGAGCTACGACCTGCGCATGCTGCTGCGCTTCGTCAAGTCCAGGCTTGCTCCAACCTGCAGCAAGGATCGAACAATAGAGGGCTAGTGGTAGGAATAACGTTGATCTGAACGGGGCAAAGAGTTGTAAAATTATCGCAAATACTTCACGGGAACTGCAGATCGAGCCAGTGAGACCGTCGATGGGTTTAATTACTGCTCCATGCCGCGATCCTTGAGAAGGTTGAACCGACAAAAGGAGAAACCTATACTAGTTACAAGTAGCCCTACAGTGGCTTGGCATGACGATGCAATCATTCCCGTAATCAAGACGAAGGCCAATATCTATTTCTGGCAATGCTTCCTGTTCGCCATGGTTGTTGGTACGGTACAAGTAGCACCAAGCACTCGGCAAACACACGAGATCTCCTTACTCTGATCCGTAGTATGAGGAGCCTTTCAACAAGGCACCCCTGACTGTTGCCATGCAAGAGTACATATAAGCCTGCCCTCAAGGCCAAACTCTAAACTTTCCAAGCCCCACCACACGGAGTGGCACGTTGCCAGATCTGGGCCGCGAAGCAAAATCCTGCGGGTACTGCCGGCCTTGAAGCACTGCACTCAGACTGAGCGGTTGGCCGAGTGCCTAAGGTAGACTTAGTCCATCTTTTACGAAGGTTTTGGAATATTCCTAGAGGCCCGGCGACTTTACATCCAGAGCTGACCTCGCATCCAGGGGCTGTGCTGAGCCGAAGTCACGATGGCGTGACTGAGCCTTTTCATCTTCAGTGATGCCAAGAGGAGAGGGAGCTTACAGCGCATACAGCAGTGCTACAGCAGTGCTACAACTGTCACAGTCGCTAGAGTCACTAGATGTCACAGTCGACTATGAATAGGAAAATAGGGGGCGGTTCGATGGCACCGCCGGGCCGAGGCCTGAAACGAAGCGCATCGCTCGGATCCCATACGTGAGACACCCGGAAGCTCAGAAGAAGCGCTTTCCCTTTCCCTAGAGAGAGAGAGTTTAAGGCTTTAAGGTCTTGAGTAACTGTTTTCAGGGTTTATATCAGGTTTCAGGCTTGAGGCTTAGCGGCTTAGCGTGTATGTACGATGTTCATGAGTGGCGGCTAGCACATGAAGTCTTTCTAGTCATGACAGCGACAAGTTACGCAGCTGCCTCAGCGACGATTCCCCGGCCATCCTTGACTTTCAGGATGATCTGATCGACTTCTTCGACTCTTCAGGCGGGCTGAGCCGGTTGGATTGCCTCCAGATTCAGGAGTGGCTGGCAAGGCTTAGGCGAGCATCCACCACGCCTTGAGTTCGGGGTGCCGTCTTGCCTGAGAAAGACAGCTCCCCGTATTTGAGCTGCGCTGGATGCCATGGCAGCGCCGAAACGTCCCCACCGCCCTCCGCAAGGGGACACGAGCCTGGAGCTGTGCAACGTCGGGCGGGTCGCGCGCCGGGCGTGTGGCAGTGCAGGTGAGAGAGGTGACGCCGGTGACGAAGCCCCAGTGCCGACCGGCGAAAGGCAGCCCGGTGGAGCTGAACCTGTCCTTGACTGCTCTCAGAGATGCTGGCGACATCGACTCTGTACTGAACTTGTTGCAATGTCGACTCCTGCCCGATCGAGTAAGCTACAATATCACTCTCAGTGCCCTGGAGCGTTCCGCACGTTGGCAAACGGCCATCAGAATCTTTGAGCGAATGCAGGGAGGGTCTTCTCCCAATTTGATATCTTTCAACACCTTGCTTAGCTCCCTTGCTCGCGGCAGGAAGTGGCAGGCCGTATTAAATCTTCTCTTCGACGGTGCACCCGTGTGCCTTCGGAGGGCACGGATAAGTCCTGATGCCATCAGCGTCGGTACCGCCATCGCTGCCTGCGCGCGTGCAATCCGCTGGCAAGTGGCATTGACCCTGCTGTGCCAGCTAGGCAGATTTCAGGAGAAAATCACAATGAACGCTCGCCGGGCGGCCGTTACATCTGCTCTGTGGGCATGTGGAGCTGCCTCTCGTTGGCTGCAGGGGCTGCACCTGCTGCATCCGACAATCCGACATTTAAAAGCGGATGCTTCCTTGATGGGAGCCGCAGTCAGCGCCTGTGCTTTTGGCCAAGCCTGGGAGCTTGCAATCGCTTTCCTGGCGGTGGCTGAGCATCGGAGCCTAAGCAACGTTGCAGTGCGCCGCTCGGCTATTGCTGCCTGCGAGCTGGAGAACTGGCCAACAGCACTGCTGCTGCTGGAGTTCGTGCAGATTTCTGGTCCTGACCCGGCAGGCGTCAGCTCAGCGATCTCAGCTGCGGCAAAGGCTGCCAGGTGGGAGCTCGCGCTCTTCCTGGTGCAGGCGCCGTTACTCCCCTCCCCGGGCCTGCATGCTGCAGTTCAGGCTTTGGCACAAGCTGCAAAGTGGGTAGAGAGCTTGGAGCTGGTCCGAGAAATGCGGAGAGATCCCGGCAGCCTTTCGTTGACAGCTGCCACAGTCACGGTGGCCCAGCTCCGCTCCCTCTTCTCGCGGCTGGTGCGACGACTTCGCAGCGCAGCTTTTCGGAACTGGCATGTGGCAAGAGGCACTGCTGCCCAGGATGAACACTTGGGGAATCTGATGGATGCGATGGACCTTGCATCATTCCACGGTGCCTCCGAGACTCCAACTTTGCTCGCTTACAGCTGCCTGCTGGCCCTGCAGAGCACCGAACCCTTGGAAGTCAGCCAGTTACGCCCCGGTCCTTGCCTCTTGCGCTCCACCATTGATCTTAATTTGAACTTTCCCGGCGAGCGCTCTGTTTTCGCTCGTTCCGCTCGTCGCGAAGTCATCGAGGTATTTGCCAGCACTGGTCGCACTGGTGTCTTGCCGGAAGATGCGTCCGCCAGTTCCCTGCTCGTTTGGCTGGCGTTCGAGATCAGTATCTCCTCGGAACCTGCCGGACCAGGACAAAACAACCACGTTTTGCCTCGAAGTAACTCTAGTATCGGACGCATCTCATGATTCTCTTGTGTTGACTTCTTATGTTTCTCTGCGTGTCTGCACTGCTGGTCTTGCCATGTTCTAGCAGCTCACCTGCTTCCTGTGAGTTACATCTGTTTCTTTGGGACTTCTTCAGATGTAAAGCCAGTTCTGCTTGAAGCCACTAGAAGCGTGGAGATGTTCCGACACCATTTCGGACTGCACTCCCTCCCGCAGGAACTCGCAGTGAACCCCGAACCCGAACCCCAAAAAGCCTAGAGGAGCCTAAACCATCCTAAACGTCCTAAACTCACCCACAACCCACCTGAATCTCTCATCTCATCCCATCTCTTCCCGCTCGGAGCCCCCCCCTCGGCCAGACGAAGCGAAAGCGGGGCTTCCCAGCTGGGCTCCCGTGAAGAAGGCCATTCCGGAACCGCGGAACCTCCGCATCGCTTCGCAGAACAGCGCATGTCTGCTTCTGGTTCTGGAAGCTAACCTCGGTTCTGTAAGACCACAGGAATGAAGGCGCATGAATCATGAAACTGGCACCACAGGAGGACTTCTACCGCTTCGGTGTAGACTCTGCCACCACGGCGCGCATCATGAAGAAATGTCGTGACAGCGCCTGAGACGTTTCTTCGCTCGAGATGCTCCGGTAATCCGAAGAATGACTACAGTGAGAATATAGACCCTTGATTCATTTTCCCCCTCTTTTCTTTTGGTCCTCTCAATATTGGGATCGTTACAGGTCTAATTAAATTACAGTGGAATTCAGTCGATTCTGGTTTCAGGGGTGAGCCAAAACCCGACTACCGAAAATGCGTCCAAGGTCGCCACTTCGGCTAATCCTGACCAGGACATGCAAGTTCGGGTTCAAGTTTGCTCTGAATCTTCCTGCCGCTTGCCGACGAGCTCGCCCTTTGGAACAGAATCAAGCTCAAGCTCCAACCAATTGGGTGCCAAGAAAAAGGCGAAGGCTAGAAGCCCCCGTGCCACCGCAGGAGATGCCTGTCATGCGCCTCTTCGAGGCCTGCAGTCCTGGTCTGAAGTGCACGTAGCTGCGAGAGTGGCACCGGCAGACTTCAACCACTTTGAGTGCCCAACGGACCGTCACACACATGGGACCAAGTCGAAATATCCTGAACATTGGCTGGCCATCGGCTCACAGTAAGCGTCACCGGCAACCCCGAAAGGCCCAGGAAGCTCCCTGCAGAAGCCTGTAGCGAAGCCGCCCCAGGAGTTCCAAACGTCGATCCAAGACACCTGCGCGGTGTTGGACTTTGCAGGGGATCCAAGTAAGGGTTGTTGATCGCCGTGCCATGTGGGTGTTTTCTGTTCAGCAGAATATGATGCCTTTCAGCAAGAAAGCGCCCGTCAGTATTCGGATGGGAACGCCAGGATGATGTACATTGCACAGCTGCGTGCGCATTTTGAAAGGACCTCCACTGAGCCACCCTCAGTTCAATGATTCTTGATGATAGGGGTCATGGTGATGGTCATGATGGTTGTTCTGGTGCAGGTTAGTTTTTTTGGATACCCCTTCTGGCCAACTGCTCTCTCTCTCTCTCTACTTTCTGTAGTCTTGTAATTCGGATCTTTTAACCGGCGCGGTATTCATCCGCACTTGATTGATGCCATAATGAATTGTTACAGTAACCCCGCTTCTTTAATTGTTGAGTATGAGTATGGGACATCCGAGATAAGACAACAAGGATCAGGCATTCGCCAAAGGATGCCCTCAGCCTCTTTGCTTGTTGGTGTTAGTAGTGTGTCTGCCATAGAGCGCGACATCAGCCACAGCATAAATCAATGTACTGTTAGGTATACCCATCGGTACCAAAACCTAAGCTGCCAGTGATTTATTGAGCGAAGTAGAAGCAGCGTTTGCACAACTCGGGTTACACCCTAATAGGGAAAGTGCTGTTAGGTTGCTATGAATCGTCATAATGTCGTCAAATTTTCCGATGGTACCAGGTTGAAAAGACTAAACGAGGCCACTCATCTGGGGCAGCAAACCACACAAGCCTCAGATATAGGATATATGAGGTTGTAGTGCATGAAGCCCTCGATTTGCTTCTTGCACCCCGGCAGCCGCAGCCGCCAGTCGAGAAAAGCACACCTTAGATGTGGGAACTGTGTTGGCGAACCAACCGCTCCAGCCATCCATCGCCCGCGGAGCGAATCAGAAAAACGGAAAGAGGCATACCTTAGGTGCGAGAGCGCGGTTGGCAAGCCAACCCCTCCAGCCGTCCGTCGTCAGCGGAGCGCCGAAGCAGGAAGCAACCTGAGTCTTGCGTTCTCACGCGGTCTCAACAACCCTGAGACATCCGCGCCAAGGCAGGCCAGGCCACAGATATGGGACATTAAATCAACCGTATAATGCATGATACATTAAGAGTTTTGTGCAAGCAGCCAGTTTCTGGGAAGGCTGTGCAGTGCCCAGCGCAGCGGAAGCGCATGATGCCATGGCTTGGAAACGGTTCATCTAACGCAATCGATGCAGAAGAAAGTAAATGCGATTAATTGAGAGGAATTGAAGAATCCTAGGGTTAGATAGCACTTATGTGAACCGAGCACAGATTCATGACTTTGTATTCAGAAAGCAAATGAAGAAATTGAAAAATACAAGCTCAACAGCAACGAAATCAAACTGTTTTCTCAGTTGGTTCGAGAGAAACGTATCAAACTAGCTGGCCATATTCTGAGAACCAGTGAGGACCCCCTACTGCAAGTCAGCTCTAAAGGCAACTGTGCCAACAGCTATTGGCAAACGGAGGGTCGGAGGACCGAGACTCTGCTTAGTGCACAAAACCAGTATTTGGGAAAATGAGGTTTCCAATTCAATTTGCTCCTTCAGGTGTGCAAAATCAACAGATTCTTGAGGAAGGCAGAAGCCGCCGATTTTTGGCCGCCCCTCGTGCCCACGGTCTCTCTTTTTCTGCCTAAACAGGCGAGGGTGCGGATCTTTTTCAGTGTCTGTTTCAAATCACTTCGACTGGGGGGCGGCATTCTTGCAGGAAGAATTGAACTCTAGACTCTAAACCTTTCCCAGACGGGCGAAGAGCTCAAAAGCTGGGTGGCCGAGCGGCGTGTGGACATGGCCAATGTCGAGCCCGGGAGCCCAGCAGGAGCAGTCCTGGGCGAGAAAGTCTACGGAGGATGTATCTTCGTTCTGTCATGCTACGCTGAAGAATACATGCGCAGATGCATCATGCAACAGACAAAATAAGTGCATGAGATGGCGCGGGCTGTGCCTGCAAACCTTTCATCAGCTTTGCAGTCTATGGGTGCTTTTTGAGTTTCGACATATTTGGCTGATGTTAGGACCGTTACTGTAGCTTCAGAAAAGGCTCAGGCTCGAAGAGGTTTTGCCGTCGCTGGCCATGTTTGTTTCGTTTGGGGGGTGGGGACTAAAGCCAGCTTTGGAGGCCGCGGCAGAGAAAGCTGGAAGGGCTGTCGCGCCCAAAGCTTAGAGGGTGTTGCCCTTGCTGCCAGTGGGAAGCTTCTTTTTGTTGGCGGCCATATGCTCATCAAATCGACATTCCTGTCACTCTTATGCAGCACTACATGTGTTGTTCTCTCCAACTCGGACGAAGCTATCTTAGGCGCCCTCGAGCCTGCCGAGCCTGTCTTTGCCTTGGAAACGTGCCGTCCCTGGTTGGGGAGCCTTTGGCAGGATTTGTTTGTGGTTAATGCTTGCTGTCCCTGTTCACACCTACTCTAAAGGTCTTCACTTCAGGTCAGCAGAAGGAGCAATGGAGAACACCGCTGCAACCCTGGGCCGTATACCTTGCAGAAGAAGAAGCTTGTTCGAAGCTGCGTACAAGGCCTCCCAGTCCGAACAGGTTCCCTCCGAGGTCGAAAGAACGACGTGGCTTAGGGATTGCTCGGCATTGAACGGAGCGCAATGCCGAGGCATTACGAGGAAGAAGAGACCCCTGCATTGGAAGAGGCGGCTGGGCAAGGGTGCAAGAGTTTGGCGCCTGCGAGCCTGAGACTGGAGTCATGTGCCCTGTAGAGATGGCCATGTTTAATCTTGTAGGGACTCCTCTCGGAGCTTAGCTGCAGCAACATTTGCGATGCCTACGCTTCTCTCATGTTGGTCGATTACATAGGTCTTCTGGATCCTGCGTGGGCTTTCCTGCTGACAGTCACAAATGCGGGAGGTGTATCCAGCGAAACTCAAGCTGGGATGCAGCCTTCAACACCAACGTGGAGAGAGCGACCTACGAAAAGGTAGAGTGAGCAGCAAGAAACAGTTGATGAGTTTTTTGCGGTACAACGTGCTTTCTCTTGCTCCCGATCGATGGTTTTGTTTGAACTTCGGGTCAGTTTGCGTGTTTGGTTCGTTGACAGTTTTTTCAACCAGAACAGAACAGAACCTCAAGTTTTTTCAGTACTTAGCTGGAGCCTGAAGTCTCCCTCAGCCCCAAGACCTGGGCCCCTACAGTGCCTTGCAGCCTGAGCCATTCCCATGCCTTGACAGGGCCCCGGGAATGGCCAAGCCATCGCCGACGCCGAGCTCCTGGAAGAAGGGATCAAAACCTGAAGCCCTAAAGAACGAAAGCTAAGTTCCCTGAGTTCGAAAGGCTGAACCTCAACGCCCGCAGCCTTGAAACCAATAGACCCTGGACCAGCCTCAAAGCCCCTAGACCAGTATGCTGCAAGTGCTAGATGATGAGCTAGTTTATTGGGCCATGGCATCCCTCCCCTCTTCTGTGGAAATTGTTGAGCGTTCTTGTCGTGCAGGAAGAAGTGCCCAAGATAGCATCCTGCCGTGTGCATCATGAAACTAGACCACGAAGTTCAACCTCCTCACAACAGATCTGAGAGCTTGGGCATCAGGCGAGCCCGCATGCAGCGCTTGAGAATGGACCCTCAGCGACGTGACAGGGACAAAGTTCA